AATCTCACATTATTTTTGTTTAGTGGCTGAGAAAATCATTTTTAGATTTCAAAGAAAAAATTAGTCTTCAAAGAAGAAAAAATACAAATTGTATGATTCTATTTTAATATAAAGTTCTACTTACATAAAAGTAGAAAAACTGAATTAGTCACGTATCGCTTGACATGGTACGTTCTGAGAAATGTATTATTAGGTGAGTTTATCCTTGTGGGAACATCAGAGTGTACTTACACAAACCTAGATGATTGCCCACTACACACCTAGGCAATATGATATAGCTCTAGGGTACAAACCTGTACAGCATGTTGCTGCACTGAATATTGTAGGCAACTGTAACACAGTGGTTAAGTATTAGCATATCTAAACACAGAAAAGGTACAGGGAAAATATCGTATAAAAGATACCTGTAAAGGGCATTTAACATGGAGTGTGCAGAACTGCAGGTTGCTTTACATGGGTCAACGAGTGGTGAGTGAATGTGAAGGCCTAGAACATTACTGTACATATAAACACTGTACTTAGGCTACACTAGATTTATTTAAATCTTTTTTCTTTAATAATTAACCTTAGCTTACTGCAAATATTTTACTTTATCATCTTACAGTTTCCACTTTTTGGCTCTTTTGTAATACTTAGCTTAAAACACATTGTACAGCTGTTCAAAAATATTCTCCATGTCATTTTATACTTTTCCTTAAAAAATTTTTTTTTTGTAAACTAAGATGAACACACACATTAGCTTAAGCCTGTACAGGGTCAAAATCAGTTTTACTGTCATCCACCTCCACATCTCTCCCATTGGAAGGTCTACAGGGGCAATAAAACACATGGAGCAGTCATCTCCTGTTGTAACAATGTCTTCTAGAATACCTCACGAAGGACCTGCCTGAGGCTGTTTTACAGTTCACTTAAAAAAAAAAAAAAAAAAAAAAGAGGCCGGGCGCGGTGGCTCAAGCCTGTAATCCCAGCACTTTGGGAGGCCGAGGCGGGTGGATCACAAGGTCAAGAGACCGAGACCGCCCTGGTCAATATGGTGAAACCCCGTCTCTACTAAAAATACAAAAAAAAAGTAGCTGGGCATGGTGGCACATGCCTGTAATCCGAGCTACTCAGGAGGCTGAGGCAGGAGAATTGCCTGAACCCAGGAGGCGGAGGTTGCGGTGAGCCGAGATCGCGCCATTGCACTCCAGCCTGGGTAACAAGAGCGAAACTCTGTCTAAAAAAAAAAAAAAAAAAAAAAAAATATATATATATATATATATATAAGGAGTGCACGCTAACAATAAAGTATGGTAAATATATAAACCAGTATCAAAGTTGTTTATTATCAAGTATTATGTGCTATACTTCTACATGGCTAGCAGTGCAGCAGGCTTGTTGACACCGGCATCACCACAAACATGTGAGTAATGTGTTGGGCTACGTCACTAGGTGATAGAAATATTTCAGTTCCTTTACAATTTTACTGGAGTATTGACCTATAGGCAGACTATGTTGACTGAGATGTTATATAGTGCACTGACACTGTACAATGTAAAAATAGCTGTTATCTTTTTCCTGAGGCCGGTGGGGGGCGGGGGTTGTCTCCGTATGTTGCCCAGGATGGTCTTAAACTCCTGGGCTCATGTGATCCTCCCATCTCAGCCTCCCAAAGTGCCAGAATTACAGGCATGAGTCACCCCACCCAGTCAGTAACTGTTATCTTTGTTGAGAAGGAAGGAAGTAGTGATTGGTAGATGACATTAGGAGAGTTTTTGGGGTGCTGTGAACATTCTATTTCTTGTCTACATGGTGGTTACACATGTAATTTAATGGTAATTCTTTGAGCTGAACATTTCAGTTGAACAAACTTCTGTACATATCAATTTGGAAAACATTTGAAAAATTACCTCTTCCTTCTGTTTGCAAATGACAGAACCTTAGCTTAAATTGGCCTATGTATTAAGACGAACTTATAATATCAAGATGCCTAGTGGTATCCACGGACAGGAGTTAATACAGGGCCACATGAACAACTGAGCCAGGAGCTCAATCTACCGGAAACTTTTCTTACTACAAATGTTTCCTCCAGGTAGGTAACCACAGACATGGCATAATCATTTTATATAATATGCACTGAGACATTTGTGATGTGCACCTACTGTTTTGTTTGCTCAAGACCTGGCCTACTTTCTGGGGACAGCACCACCCTCAAGGAAAATGGTCTTTCCCCATTCCATCCATATGGTTTTCACAGCAGAAAACCATAGCTGGTGTTCTACCATAACCCAATCCTCTAGCCACAGTCAATTAGTCCAGCAATGTGCACCTGACCTGTGCTGGGAACCGTATCCCGAGAATTTTTGGACTTGGAAATTCTTGGGAGTACGGTGCAGAAATCTGTTTTAATAGCCCTTCAGATGACCAAGTTTAAGAACTCTACTGGAGCCTATCTTAACTCTTTATTTGGTTGTGTCTATTTCTTTAAAGGTATTTTAAAACTGGCACTGTATTCAATCAACACTGTCAATTCACAGCAGATGGGAGCGGGGGTCGTGGTGGAGGCATTCAAGTATCCATAAAGGATACAACACAAAGGACTCTAGTAATACAGTTTGGTAAAGTTTTAGAATATTTGTATACTCTTTTTTTGTTTTAAGAGACAGGGTTTCATCATGTTGGTCAGACTGGTCTCGAACTCCTGACCTCAGGTAATCCACCCACCTCAGCCTCCCAAAGTGCAGTCGTGAGCCACCTCTCCCGGCATTTGTATACTCTTTATAGAACCAAATTTTTTTTTTTTTTTTGTAGCAGCAGAATCCATCTAAATCATGGTAATTATGAATTCAAACTTCAGAAAGTTACTGTCAAGCATAAATGATTACAATTTTAGAAGAAAAAAGACAGTATCTTTAAGTGGCTATTAAGTAATTTTTCTTCTTTATAATTTACTATGTACTTCTCAAATTTCAATATGTATAGAGGCTGGGTGTGGTGGCGCATGTCTGTAATCCCAGCACTTTGGGAGGCTGAAGCGGGAGAATCACGTGAGCCCAGAAGTTCGAGACCCCCCCCATCTATAAAAAGTTTTTCTCTGTAGGAAACTAAAAGTCAATAGTCTGTGGTAGTACAGCAGCAGGTAAAAATAAAACAGCAGGTATAATAGCGGGTGGATGCAGTCAGGAGTTTGAGAACAGCCTGATGCAACAAACCCCATCTCTCTTAAAATACAAAAATTAGGTGGGCATGGTGGCATGCACCTGTAGTCCTAGCAACTTGGGAGGCTGAGAAAGAATTGCTTAAACCCGGGAGGCAGAGGTTGCAGTGAGCTGAGATCATGCCACTGCACTCCACCAGCCTGGGCAACAGAACAAGACTGTCTAAAAAAAAAGTATAAATTGTAAAAAAACAATTAATGTTGTAACAACACAAATAATACATATGATGATTTTACCAAGAAATAGCTGCAATCAGGAATTAAGATACATGCCAAGCTTTCAATAGCAGTTAATGTATACTTCTGTGAAAAGCAAACTCACATCAACATTTTAGGTAAAAAACATTTTCTCATTAAAAAAAAAAAAAAAGACTTGATATCCTTCCACTTAACATTTTATAACCATGTTAAGGTCACTACTTCAATATTTCCTGATGATGGGACTGCAGACAACTATCACTTTTCACCTTTATACTTTTTAATATCTGTAGTTTATGTTGTACAGCAATGAGTTTCTATTACTGTTGAAATCAGAAGAAACATTTTTTTTCTTACTTTTGAAATCAGAAGAAATTTTCTTAAAGAGAAAACATTAAGATGACTCAATGTAGGTAATTTGTTTGAAACTGGCATTCAGTTAACATAATTTTAACTAATTTGTATTATAGTAAATAAGGCCTATGAGTATCATCATTTTCATTTTCAGACTGGTAAGCAGAGGGCCATTTAGCTACCCTAGTTTTATATTTAGTATCATTCCAATATCTTTAGTGAATTTGAACCTCCATATGGGTTTTTCCGTGGCGTTGAGTATATAACAGGTTTAGACTTCTCATGTATTGACTTATAATACAAGTATAGTGACAAATTAATTTTTTTTTTTTTTTGAGACGGAGTTTCGCTCTTGTTACCCAGGCTGGAGTGCAATGGCGCGATCTCGGCTCACCGCAACCTCCGCCTCCTGGGTTCAGGCAATTCTCCTGCCTCAGCCTCCTGAGTAGGTAGGATTACAGGCACGAGCCACCATGCCCAGCTAATTTCTTGGATTTTCAGTAGAGACGGGGTTTCACCAAGTTGACCAGGATGGTCTCGATTTCTTGACCTCGTGATCCACCCGCCTCTGCCTCCCAAAGTGCTAGGATTACAGACTTGAGCCACTGTGCCCGGCGACAAATTAATTTTAAATGGCTCTTCAAGTTTTTAGACTGGCTTGAGAGAAATAAAACACAAGATGTCTTTTTCTCCCCTCATCAGTATTAATCTAATTGGAACATGCAGTATTATTTTAACTGTAATTATTCTAATTGTAACATGTAATTGCAAAGCAAATATCCCCTAAAGGAATATGGTGAACTAATTAAACAATGTATAGTCCTTGATTTTTCCATCCATAAAAGAAAAGACGCACGTGATCACCTAAATATTCGCGTTTGGTATGAAAATGCATTAATCATTCTCCTGGAAACTCATAATAGCTTTTCACTTGTTTTTTCTAACTAGATATCATATCTAGCTATGATCTAGTCATATGCTAGCTTTTTCTAACTAGATATTAATTCACAGCAAGTGAAAAAGTTCCAAGAACAAATTAATTTATAGTAAACTATAATTTCCTCCAAGTAATCCACATATGAAATAACTTTGACAGAGAAAATATAAGATATAATCCAACCCCATGAAGACTAAGTCTGAAAGGGTAATATGATTTGGGTTTGCATGTTTAAAGAAAAACTCAATTGAGTAATTTATTAAAACCGAGTGTAGGCAACTGAGAGGAAAAAAAGGAATCTTACCATATCCAGAGATTCAACACTTAAAAAACAAATATAAATTTAATAATAAACATTATGGTCAGGCTGTTTATTAAGGAGGCAACCACATATACAACTTCGGCTATAGAAATGTTTGCAAATCAAACGTCATGTGATCTAAAAGGACCATGCGTAACGTCAAAAATGGATACCTGTACATTCAATAAAAAGTTAAAACATACATAGTCTAGATCATTCTAGAGTTATACAAACATCTGGGGCCACATCATATGTATCGAAGTTTCTTTCAAAAAAACTTTTTATAAAAGTGATGTATTGAGATAATTTTAAAAAGTATCTGACAATTATGAATGGTCCCCAGTTTTACAAAATGTGATTTCCAGGATATGAAACTGAAAAAAAAAGTCAACTCTTCAGAGAGTGTTTTATATTATACAAACAAGTTTTGTAGAAAAATGATCCAGCAAATGCTTGAGTTAAGAATATTTATATTTTTTCCAATTCTTTACACTTTTATTAACACACTTACAAAAAATAACATTCAAACACTGAGAAAATTAAATAACTTTGGAAGCAGAGCTCATTGTTTTCTGCTTACATATAAGTGACAATTCTGGGCTGTTGGCACAAAATAATCAACATTCATAAAACCCTTACTACTATATATCAAACATAAGTTAAAATCATAGGCACTAGTTTATCAAATCCACATTTCTTCTGTAAGACTAACCACAGTAAATCCTTAGATTTTCCCAAACAGAAAAATTGTGATACACAAAGGCTTTCTAGTAAAAAGGCAATTTTTCTCTTTAGGAAACTAAAAGTCAATAGTCTGTGGCAGTACAACAGCAGGTAAAATAATACTTTACCAAACTCAGATCCAAAGTAAGTTTTAACAAGTGATGAAATATTTTAATTAAAAAAAAATAGACATTTTTTTCTGATGCAGCCATTCAAAAACAAAGTTAAATAACCTGAATACTCCTTTTGAAACTGATTATCTAACTTAAAAAATGTAATGTTTCATAATAGAGTTAAAATTCCTTTTAATTATTAGATTGCAGCATATATATATTTTTTGAAATGTTGCACTGAAAACTGAGAATTGTTTTGTTTTGTATGTGGTTAAGAGACAGTAGCTAGTTCTTTTAATTACTTAGACACGAGATACCCCTCCCAAAAGAAGATGCTTTATCTCCCTCTGAAAAGCAACATATTTTGAGTTCATTATCATGTAGAATTCTGGCGCCATCCTTTCCTGACCCACCCCATTACCCTCAAATTCAAGGATAAAGTTTCTTCCTTGCATTATACACCAAAACATAGTACTGGCAGTTTAAATCTCCAGCTGCTTGTGCTAAATAAATGACTCCCCACTGGTCAAGCTGGTAGACTACCATGGTGTCAGTCATGACAGAATGGAGGTCCTGGTTTTTTCATCATTCTCTCAACCTATTAACCTTAATGCTGCCCTGAATATCAAGCCTTCCATTTCTCTCTCCCCAATTTCTTTTGCCAACTTACGGAATGTCTTTAACAGGAAATGAACTTATGTTCAAATCTCTAAAAGCTTTTAGATGACCTAACTGCCAATATCTTAGAGCTGTTCAAATTAGGTATTTAAAAACAGACCTCGTAATAAAAAAATGAGAAGCCTGCCACAGAAGGAAGTTTTACTCTGGTAATAGTCTGGTAAAACTGAAAAAGGTGACCTCAAGATATATTACGAGCCGTTAGAGAACAAGTATTTATCAGGTAAGAGTTATATGTAGTAGGTTTATTACCAAAAATGCAAAAAATTGATGTAAGGCAGAATCTAAGTCAAAAGGGAAAGAATTTTCAATAGATGTTGTTTATACAGTTACTCAGTTTCAAGTGGATCAACTCAAGTAGCATTTAGCAGGCTATTATTTTCCTACCACATAATAGACCATTATGCCATGTAACAGCAACAATACAACTGTCATCACCAGAGATTCTGTAGGTTAAGTGCATAGATTTTTTTCCCCCTCTCTCTCATTGTATGGTTTTGTTCCAGGTTGTAAGCACTGAGGTGGTGGTGTATCAAGAATAAAGACACAGATTACTTGTTCTTTCCTATCGTGAAAACCTGCTAATAGAAACAGGATCTCTTAATTCTGTAAAGATAACAGCATATGAAGAAGTTGGCTTCAATAGCAAAGGCCATCTTTCCTGAGCCAGGAACTATAAAGTTTAGAAAGATTGTACAACTGATATTAAGCCCTTTTGGCAATCAAAACAAACACACAGAAAGTTCGATGTGTCAATGCAACATGATGGATGCATGCTGTAACACTATCTGATGGTGGTGATATGTGAGCTACATCCAAAACTTAAGATTAAGTGACAATTTTTCTAATGAATCTGCAAAAATAATTTCTGAAATTCTCCCAAATTTAGGGATGTTTTCAATCTCTTAGCCCAGCCTTCTTTCCTCCCACCCCCAATCTCTATCTGTAGTTTCCTGGTGTATTAGTGAAACACTTTAGATCATTAGTCAGAATATTAGTTCTCATTAACAGAAATATTTATTGATACTATTTATACAGTAAATTAGTTGAATGTGAAGTTTTGGATAGCTTGAATTCACCATTTTCTTACGCACAAATGGGCATTTTTCTCATTTACAAATGGGCATTTCTCTTTGGCATCCATTAAGTATTTGCCCAGATATTGGCCTCTGTCAAATATTTAAAAAATCATCCTAGTTTCTATTAAACAAAACTAAAAGTGATTCTATGGAGAGTGATTGTGTGATTACCAAACACATCTGATGTTAAATGTCATTAAAGTGCTGTTTGATGATCTCTGTCAGTTTGTGCTAATTAAGACAGAGAGGGCTGGGATTTTATAAATCCCACGAGTCTTATCTGAACAGTCTGCATATAAAAGTTGTTTTTAGCCTTGTGAAGGGTATCCATGAAGCCGTGGACTTCTGCATTCTTGTCTTTGCTGGTCAATAACAGCCATCTTTCCAACTGTCATCTTTCATGCTACCATAGGTTTTAGGAGCTGGCAAGGATCTGAAATAAAGCAATTTTATAATTTAAATTTGATAAATGTCTTTATGAAATATTACCATACTATCTCATACATATATTAATTACTCTTTAGGTGGCATCATGATCCTATGAAGACTGTTCTGGAGGATTTCCAACACAAAAGCTCTAAACAGGTACTTGTACAACCTCCCCACATGTGGCATTTTCACAACTTTAAAGTTTTACTGGACACTAGATAATTTTCCATTTTGTTAACATAGCCACTAGATCAAAGAATGGAAAGGATGTTCTCACCTTTTCCAAGCACATGGATAACCAACCTTATTATTTACTTATTATTTTGAGAGGCAGAATGATGAATGTGATATTAGAAGCTCAGTGTCATCACTAGAAAGGCAGTATGGGATAGTGACTGAAGTCAGACATACTTGGAACTGATAGTTTTATTAGTTATGTGGCTTTAGGCAAATTACTTAATTTCATTAAATTTCAATATCCTCTTTTGAAAAACAGAAATAAGAAAACCTACTCATTTAATGTTACTATGAAGATTAAACAAAGCAAACATTTACTTATTTAGCACAGTGATAAATACTTCCAGTTTAATTATAGTTGACAAAGTTTACTGATGATAGTAATCCCATTCTTGAAGGGTTACAGATGCAACATTCCTAACCTGTCTGATTCAGAATCATCTGAAGAGCAAACAAACAAACAAACAACAATAAAAAACAGCACATTGGCTGGGGGCAGTGGCTCACACTTGTAATCCCAGAATTTTGGGAGGCCGAGGTGGGCAGATCACTTGAACTCAGGAGTTTGATACCAGCATGGGCAACATGGTGAAACCCCGTCACTACAAAAATTAGCTGAGCGTGGTAGTGCACATCTGTAGTCCCAACTACATGCGGGGCTGAGGTGAAAAGATTGCTTAAACCCAGGAGATCAAGGCTGCAGTGAGCCAAGATTGTACCACTGCACTCCAGCCTGGGAGACAGAGCAAGATGCTGTCTCAAAAAATCACCACCACCACCATCCCAGCACAATCACAGATTCTGGGCCTCATACCAGATCCACTAAGTTAGACTCTAAGGGTAAAACTTACACACCTACATTTATATAAATTTCACAGATAATTCTGAATTGCAGAATAAGGGTTTGAAAACCATGCTTAGAGATTATACTCAGACTTGGTAACTACAGGTTTTATCTTAAATATCACTCTATATTCTAATATATGTTTATCATCTTTATTGAATATAATTATATTCTGAATGAACAAATATCACAAATTAAGTGGTTCTAGCAATCTTTTTCTAGGAGTCCTCTGAAATGCTTAATCATGTTAGGAAACTGGACAAATTTAATCTGAATCAAATTGGTAAATGTCTCAAATGAGGATTTCATCAAAACAACATAGTAATGTTTTATTCAAATTGTACGAAAACTCTGGTGGCAATCCACCATGACTTTCTGGTTACTATCAAACATAGCATGAAGCTAATTAATTCCAGTCTATCCACTTTCAGGTACTCAAGAATACTGAAACAGAACATTTACCACTTACCTGCGAACAGGTTGTGCAAGTTTGCTGCGAGGCACTGGTATGCCCCCAGCAGAAGGGGCACTGGGTCTGGGCAAGCCACTTCTCATTGCAGTTGTCCCTGCTGGTCTGGTTAGAGTAGTACTGTTGATATTGCTGGGAGGATTTGCTGAGACTGTGTTCTGAACCATAAGAGGCCCAGGAGAGGAGGTGGTTTGTGCGAGCTGTGTTATTTCTTGGCTACCAGGAGAACCAGAGCCATGATTACTAAATGCTTTCACTGGTTGCCGAAGAGCCAAAGGAGATGGTGCTGCAGGGGAACGGAATTTGCCTGGAGAAGGTACTGTGAAATGGCGAAGAAAAACCAATTTTTGAGTGGAAATCATATATAAATGAAACCATGACTTTAAATTACAACTGATGATTAGGTACTAGTACATTTTATTCAGGAAACGTCACAGCAATGCAAAGAATAAAAGATATTCCTGGGCTACTATAAGAATAAAGGTAAATTGTGAGCTGTAAATTACCAAGTGCTTAATTAGAGAATTACAACTCTCTTTAACAACAGTATTTTAAATCTGCTGGGTGGCATGCACCCATAATCCCAGCTACTTGAGGCTGAGGCAGAACTGCCTGAACCCAGGAGGAAGAGGCTGCAGTGAGCCCCTAAGATGCCACTGCACTCCAGCCTGAGTGACAGAGCAAGACTGTTTCAAAAAGAAAAAAGAAGGCTGGGCGCAGTGGCTCACACCTGTAATCCCAGCACTTTGGGAGGCTGAAGTGGGCAGATCACCTGAGGTGAGGAGTTCTGGACCAGCCTGGCTGACATGGTAAAAACCTGTCTCTAAGAAAATACAAAAATTAGCCAGGCATGGTGGTGTGCCCCTTTAGTCCCAGCTACTCAGAATCTGAGGCAGGAGAATTGCTTGAATCTAGGAGGCGGAGGTTGCTGTGAGCAGAGATCATGCTACTGCATTCTAGACTAGGTGACAAAGCAAGACTCTGTCTCCAAAAAAAATAAAAAAGGAAAACAAAAAAAGCTTATGTCCACACAAAGACGTGAATACAACTTTATAACAGCCAAAGACTGAACAAAGCTCAAATGTACATCAACATGTGAATGGATAAACAAATTGTGGCATAATTACACAACAGAATACCACTCAGCAATAAAAAGGAATAAACTACTGACTACTGATATATACAACAAAGATGAAATTCAGAAATTATGCTGAATGAAATGAGTATCAAAACACAAAACAGTCTGTGCGTGTGTATATACACATACACACATTGTAGAATGTTGTTAAAAACATCTGAGGAAAGTCAAATCTAATTTATGGTAACAAGAAGCAGGTCAGATGTTTGTTGGAGATTGGGAGCAACCTTGGGAAATTCTACCAAATGTTTAAATAAAGAATGAAAACAAATGCAACATAATCTCCATCACAAAATAGGAAAGATGTCCCAGTTCATTTTATGAAGCTAGTATTACCGAGATACCAAAAAGGCCAGTACCAAAAAAGAAAACTACAGCTCAATACTGTTTACAAATGAATATGTAAAAACCCTTAAGAAAACATTAGAAAACAGAATACAGCAATATACAGATTTATATGCCATGACAAAGTAGAATTTATTCCAAGATGCAAGGTTTGTTCTAGATTTGAAAATCAATCATTGTAATCCACCACAGTAACAGGATGAAGAAGAAAAATCACACAATTGTTAACAGCGGACTCAAAAAAAGCATCTGACAAAATTTAACACAGTCATGAAAAAAATTCTCCAAAAAACAGAAATATGGAAAATTTCCTCAACCTCATAAAGAACATCTACAAAAGCTCTACAGTTAACATTAAACTTAATGAAAAAAGACTGAGTGCTTCTCCCCTAAGACCAGGAACAAGACAAGAACATATGGTCTAACCACTGGAAATTCTAGCCAGTGCAATAAGCGAGAAAAGGCGGTGGTGGGGGTGGGGGAGCGGTGAGGGGGAAGAAGACAGACAGACAGAAAGAAAGAAAAAGAAAAGAAAAGAAAGTAAAAGGCACATAGTCCCCATGATAGTCTACACAGAAAATCCAAATGAATACACACACACACACATACATACACACACACACACACACATACACTTCTAGAAATAAGTGAATTCAGTAAGGTCACAGGACTGGATAAAAATACAAACATGGATTACAGTTTCTATATGCCAGCAATGAACATTAGAAATCAAGATTTAAAATATCATAGCAATTGCATTGCTCGAAAAGAAAACCACTTATGTATAAATCTAATAAATCTCAGTCAATATGTTTGCTGTGAATAGAAAAATGAGTAGTGTGTAAACTGTTAGTAAAATGTAAAATATTAAACAAATTATAAAGCATTCTTATCTAAAGAGTAGGGCTCCTTCAGCCTGTCGTAGATGAGTTTTCTGGAAAGATATTCAACAATGCCACTCAGAAAAGTCTCCTAGGTTTTCCTTAGAAATTAATTCAAACCCAAGTATTAAGTTATCCAAAATGTATTACCCAAGTTGACAATGACAAGTTACAATTTCTCTTTATATATATATGTTTTGAATGCCAAGAATTACACTCAAGTCAGGCATAAAATGAAGGAGAGTCATTTGCTCTGAGCAAGAATTAGAACTCTATTTATAAAAATGACATGATTAAGAATGCTAACCTTGGTGTCTAAGTTATCTCCAAAATGGAATGATGGGAACAGAGAATTCGTACTTTAAAATATTTTTTATTTTAATAAGTATTTAATAATTGTGCTAAGTTTGTTTTCTCATTAAGTTTTCTATAATTCAGGCATGCACTTAACCCTAAAATGAAAAAAACTGAATAAATTATGTATCTTTTTAGCTTGATATTCACTGAATATAAATGTTTTATAAAAATATATTCATGTACATAGCAATACAAAAGTTAGATATTCCAAGTTGTCTTCACAGAGCAGTCTTCCTTCAAACTACAACTTCCATTATAAAAAAAATGCCCAGTAAGTATATAGTAATAAAAATAAACACATTGCCAAACACTGATCATCATGACCAATGGGAGAAGTGATTTATTAAAACATATATGAATTCCATTATTAACAAATAAAATACAAAAATATCTCCTTGTCAACTATTCCTTACAATACTATCATTTCAATTATTCAATGGTCTATACACCATCAATGATAATCACAATTTACTGACACAGTAAGTATGTAAAAATAAGTTCTGGCTGCTAAAGAACAAAAAGATGAACTAAATATGATTCTCTCACTACAGAGTTAAAGAATCCTTGTAAAAAGCTATTACTGAGTATGTACTCTGTGTAACACTCTCACTTCACAGACAAGGGAAATTACCAAAACCACAGAAGTTAATTGAGCAAATAAATGGGAAGTCAGGAACTGAACCCAGGTCTCCTGATCCTAAGATCAGTATTCTTTTCCAGGAACCAAAAGAGAAACATCTCTGGGGGTAGAAATTAAAGTGCCATTATCATTTATTTCATCTCTTTTTTTTTGGGAGGGGGGGAGACAGAGTCTCACTCTATTGCCCAGGATGGAGTGCAGTAGCACAATCTTGGCTCACTGCAACCTCTGCCTCCCAGGTTCAAGCAACTCTCGTGCCTTGCCTCCCAAGTAGCTGGGACTACAGGCGCATGCCATCACGTCTGTATAATTTTTGTATTTTTGGTAGAGACAGGGTTTTGCCATCATAATCAGGCTGGTCTCGAACTCCTGGCCTCAAGAGATCCACCTGTCTTGGTTTTCCAAAGTGCTGGGGTTGTAGGCAAGCCACCACGTCCAGCCAAAGTGTCATTATCAACACTTTAACTTTCAACCAGACTCAATTTATTTGTGGGGGTTACTATCTTAGGCAGGTTTTATAAGGCATGACTCCAAAGCCTATTAAAATGGCAACTGCTGACAAGTAACCATTTTTAAAAAATGACATAGAAGCCTTTGATTTCTTTTTCCATTATTGTACATGACTATTATTTTTGTAAGCATACAAAACTGTTAGTTATTAGAAAAGATGTATTAAACATAAGAGGCAGTAAAAGCCCCAAGAATGGGGCTTCAATAGCTTTTCTTCCATAAATACAAAAATTAGAGGATTGATTAGGTATCAAAACATCTGATATCCAGATTTCTTGAGACATGTATTAGTTTTAGTACGCAGAATATAAACAGTTGTACATCTATACCTATATAACTTACTGTATTTTAGTTTAATAAATTATCTAACATTTAACTAACCTTAGAGTATCTAGTGAGGAATAGGGAAAAAACATCAATGTCAAGATTAAGAAACTTAATTATGAGGATTCTTGAAAGATGGTACCGGCACTGGTGTAATTTATGAATCTCCTCAAATCTCTCCATAAAACAAACAGAGCAACCAGGAAGGTCAAACCAAAACCCATTTACAACAGCTACAATAAAACCAGGTGGTGACAAGATCTCCAAGAGCCCCAAAATACAAATGGGTAGGGAGAAGCCACTGACAACTACAAGACCACATGAATTATCAGCATCTGTGCAGAAGGAAGCAAAAGAGTATCTCAACGTCCTGAAAATTCCAAAATAAACAAGTACTCATTAAAAAAAAAAAAAAAACAAAACTAAACAGCAGCTGAACTGGGAAGGGTTTGCATACTCCAACAGTGGGCAAGTACAAGAGGTTTACTGTAAGGTCTAGAAGGAATGTGAGTGGCTATGAATTCTTAAAACTAACCAGCCAAACCCCTCTTCTAGGTAAAAACTTCATGTTAAGAAAAAGAAGAAGAAGAAAAAAAAAAAACTCAGAAAATAATACAAACAGAGCAGAACAGGGACATTCCACATAAAGGAAAATGTGAAGTCCACATAAAAGCAGGGAAGAGTGCAAAATGCTGCTAGGAACTGGATATCCATCTATAAAATAATTAAGTTGGACCCCTATGCTTCATACTGAAAAAATTCAAAATGGATCACAGACCTAAATGTAAGTCCTATAAAGTTCTTAGAAGAAAATATAGGAGTTACATTTTTTTTTTTTTTTTTTTTTGCATCATAAATTTTATTCCTGTTGTGGTACAGATTTCTTCCATACCCAAAATGAATCCCATGCTGCCTTGGAAAGACCTAGGAAACTCTCCCACCATCTTTAGGGAAGTAGTGAGAAAGGCAGATGCTGAGGACTAGGAAGGCTTTGAAGTTTCCCAGCCTACTTATCCTCCCCTTCTTAAAAGAGGAGAGCTGTTTCCTATTATTCCTCTCATCCAGTCACCCCTAACACACACACACACACACCCCTAGTTAAAACAACAACAACAAAACACCAG